TTATTTGATGGTTATTTCTGAAATGCTTGAAGTTTTTCAAAATATCAAGCGTGACATTGAAAATTGCAAAGTAGACCATATTTGGTGTGATTACACATCAGATACCCGCTGTGCATGTCTGATTGCTGGCGCTAATATACGAAGGACGAAAACTCGGACTACTGCAACCAGTTTAGTTTCAACTTGGCAAAACAAGTTATTTTTCTCACAATTCTATTATAACACTGCTATTTARGAAGGTAATTGGGAAGAGCATCTGTCTGGGATGTCAGATGGGAGGACAGCAAGGGACAGATAAGTCAAACAGGCTTTATTAACATCAACTGTTATTGTGGTAGCCAAAACTTCGTCCTTGCTCATTTGCAGTCCAATGGCCGATAACAAGAYTCATGTTTTTTAATGTGCTCAGGTGGTTCTAGSCTATAACGGTCACAAAATTGAACAAGGCATTGTCGGGAACGCAAAATTTGTTTTTCTTCTTTGAAACTTGTTTAAAGACGCGCTGAAATAGCTTATTTTCGCGCCAAATAAGACGCCTGTCTATAAAGTCGAMCAAGAAGACGAAGTCATGTCGATACCGGTTAAGTCGTAACTTAGTTCAAAGTCTAAACAAAATCTCCTAGGTTATGTTGACGCTTGTTACGAATCTTGTATTGAGGTTAAATTAGTTGCTAAGTCACCGGTGTCCTTGACCGAGTACTTGGTGGGAATTGAAAAAGGACAACGTACAACTAGAGTTCACTAAAGACTTTCAACACAARCCTGAAACTGATAGTAAAGTCCTACAATGGATTTGCCCTCACAGTTGATAGAACTTCGTAAGGAAAATGAACGTCTATCAAAGGAAATGGAGGCCAAAGAAGCAAAGCTCAGCTCGAGTATGCGAAGTATTAAGATGTTTTGGAGTCCAGAGTTGAAGAAGGAGAGGGCTGCGAGGAAAACCGAGGCTGATAAATATGCCCAACTCAAGGAACAATTCAACGTTGTTTCCAAAGAATCTCAGGTAAAMACATATCTTCTGAGGCTGTGTTTTTATTAGTCGTTTAAAGATATTTAACGAGGGAGAAATGATTCATTAGAGGGCGATGTTGAAGTGTTATTGTCAACACCGAACAGAACCAAACTTTCATGATTGAGTCATGTTTAAAAGTATCGAGTTACTTTCTTGTGAGCCCTGTTTAATTTGGGGACTTCAAGAAGGAATGGGATTATGCGATACTAYCCTAAACACTGATATATGATTACTCCATTTGATAAAATAATTCCTTCGCTTGTTGAAGCTTTACAAACAGTCGTCATCCTTSAATTTTGTAAACCAAATGTGTTGTGTAAGTTCTTACTCAAGCTGGACAAGTTGATCAATGATTTTTCGTAATAGCTTGTATCTATAGAACTATATTGGACCTTTCTAGAAGTATAGCTTTTTCAGTCTAGTAGGAAACGAATAACTCTATATTACGAAAGTCTAATCCAATGAGGATTAGTATTAATTGATTCTTTGTTTGTTTTYATTGTCTGTTTCAAACAAGGCGAAGTTACATTAATCGACCATTCAAATTAGTTGTCTTTCAAAGTTACTTTTTTGGGATATCTTTTCTATTTATTTTGTCAACTTTATTGGAATCTGCTGTCGTTTTCAAAAATCAGTAATGCTGCTACTCAAAATTTGCATTAAGTGAAACAAACATTTTTAATTCATACAACATTTTAAATTAAGCTCAGCTATTCCCATCATTTTTTGTTTTKTGTTATTTTAATTAGCACATCAAGTTAGGAAATCATTTGGCATGTTATTATGGGTTTCCTGGTGTCAAATCAACAGGGAATTCTGATATTTAATTCATCAAGCATTAATATTTATTATTCAGATGCACATGTATAGTTTATTTATAGAACTATATAATATTTGGGCACATTTATTGTATTTAACACATTTATTGTATTCTTAAATAAACACAATTTTATGCAAAACTAATTAAATGAAAAAATATTTGAATCAAGATTTGAATAAGTAAAAAATGAAAGTGAAATCCACAATTTGGTTCGAGTAAGGATGGTGTCATTGCAATCAAGTTTCTGTTTCAAAAAAATGTAAGGGAGTAATTGTTTACCAAAATATCAAAAAACCCAGCAAATATCCTCAATAGTTATAAAAAGGTGACTGTTACTAGTGAAGTACATGTTCATGACTATAAGTTGAGTTGGACAAGGGAATCAGAAGTTAAGCAGATATCACTTCTCATAACGTTATCATTTGTTATTCTCATTTAATCATCATTTCCTTCAGTGCTTCTGTCCATTTAACTCATTCTTGTATGAAAACTTTTGTAGTTTGGGAAGTTATCTAATAGCAAATTTTTGAGTTAGAGTCAGATAAAGGCAGGAGTGAATGTTAAAGGAGAATTTGAATGGAATATCCATCATCGTAAAATTAGATCATGTATTTATTCTGTTTTTTTCCATTTTTAGTAAAATTGCCTTTTCTAAAAGTTGTCGATCTAAGTTAAGGCATCATAGTTATATATTGTCATGAAATGATTTTAATTTATGCACATGATTTTATCAAATCATGATTTTATCAAATCATGTATAACTGATACTGAACCTTCCAAATTATACAAATGAAATTCCCATATTGCAAACAAATTGTGATTAATCTCCTTTACTTACTAAACAGCAAAGGGTTGAAACAATTCAAGACCTTCAAGAGCAGCTAAAGAAATTACGCCAGTCCAATGGTGCTRTGAATTCTGTGTCCCCAGCATCCTCCCTAGGTCTTCTCTCATCACAAGAAGATCTTCATAAGGAGGTTGAGTCTCTAAGATTTGAGCGTGAACTTCAGGAAAAYGAGGGCTTTGTTCTCCAAAAGACCATAGATGAACTAAGTACAAGGCTAGAAAACCAACAGCAGGCTTTGATAGCTAAGGATGAGACAATAACTAGAATGATGGATATGTTGAAGAAAAATCAAGAGAATAAAAATGCAGTGGCAAAGCAAGAAAATGAAARAAAAATAATAGAAAAGTACAAGGCTGAGGTGGATGAGCTAAAGGCTCTTATGGATGAAAAAGAAAAGACAATATCCTCATTGCAAGAAGTAAGTTTGATTATCATATAACCCGTATTTCGGCCCTACGCGYGCTCTCACTGAAACCTTTGGAAAACGGTCACGTGATGGGGTCCGTACGCCTTTTTGCGACAGGTCCGTACAAACCTGTATTTTCCCGGCTTGAAGCTCCGCGCGCTTTTATTTATTTTTTTACATTAAAAAACGCTGTCATATGATTAAATGCTTATTGACTGAGTTAGGTCTGGCCGTACATGAAAATATTTGGCTCTCGGTCATTTGTACGGACCTCGCTGCGCTCGGTCCGTACGGTATAACCTCGAGCCAAATATTTTCCCGTACGGCCCTCCCACTCAGTCAATAAGTACATATTTTTTTTCCAATAACCATACGTCTATTTTATTAAAAAAAATAGACATACTAAAAAAATACGCAAACCGAGGTATCTGTTGTAACTTGACTATCACACATGTAACTGTAGAACTTGGTATAAAAATATTCAGGCAACTACATGTATATTCTTGTATTTCATTCTAAATAATTGGTTTTACATGTGACTGTATAATGGTTTCAGGAAATTGGTAATGTAAAAATCAGAAATGTCAGTGATGAGTTGTGCCAGTCTGCAAACCTGCTAGCAAAAGTGAGTGTCTAAATGAAAATGCTGCCAAAGTAATGGTTATGGATGATTTGCACTGCAGGCATCACTGAAATCTTTCTTTTTCTCAGGATAGTCAAATTGCTGATTTGGAAGCACAAGTAGAATTTCTCAAAACTGAAGTAAGTTATGACTTTATGCATTTYAGTTACTTGGGTTCTCTGTGAGAACACACTCTTGCAAGTGCCACCGAATAAAATGAATTGCTCAAACACATTTTGTGAATATAAAATTTAAATAATGATTTATTTGTTAATCAAACTAGTAAATAAAGTTTTGTGGGAAATTATAAGACTTAATTTTGTAGGATCATTGGTTTTTATGTACGATTATATGACATTAGCATTTGGTTTTATTGTACTCCACCTGTAGATTGCAAACTCAAAAGATGATGATGCAAAAAGAAATGAAGAAAGAAAACAGGCAGAAGTCTATCAGAGTCATTCACAGTTTCTAAAATCAAAGGTATACCTTTCCCAAGGGGTTTTCTCTATTGCTCTCAACATCCTGCATAAGTTATCTATTAAGATTTGCTGGACTATTGAGAAATCACAAAGGTGTTGCAAAGTTGTTTTACCATGTAAGTTTATGAAGGTCGAAACATGTCTTTGAAATTTAAAAGTGTTGTGTTATTGCTAAACAAATTTACCATGTAYCTCTGTTTTTCATAAATCTGTATTACAAATTTTTGTCTTTGAGTTATGAATCTTACTACATTACAATTAAAACTCTAAGTGGTCACACAATGGACTTAGCAAAGTGAGCACTCTGCTAAATAGAGGTTGACAACTTTGTATTCTTAGAAGAACAGTTACGCTAGTTTGTGAAAGAGGGATGTTCCATTCTGTAACTCAAGCAGTAGAACTGTGTTAAATGCAAACAACTGTTATTGAAGTTATTCRTACTAATAAGTAATGAACTTTTAAAAGAATGTTGACATGCTTTACGTATTTTGGGGATGTCTACATGTCTAATTTACAATAAACATGCAACTCTAAACATGAGGAAAAAATTTGGGACTTTAAGTTGACTGTTGAATATATGGTGACTGCTTAATGGATGCCACTAAATAGATGTTGGACTGCATGCASTAATGTCCTAATGACAATGATATCAAGGCTTCATTATATATTGAATTACTCAGTAAAAAATTGGTTTTACGAAAAAGGAATTTATGAAAAAAACTATTACAGCAGTTATGGTTGAATTATCAACAAAAGTGTCTTAGAAGAACTTGCTGACTGCTGTGATTAATTTCCAGGTAGAATCACTTAAAGCAGACATTGCCAAGAAAGAAGCAGCCTTAAATTCATCAGAAGCAAAACTGGAAACATTCAAAGCCCATCATTCAGATCAACAACAGCACATCAGTGTCCTCCAGTCATCTCTRCAAGCCAAAGACCACCATATCAAAAACCTGCAAAGTGAGGTAAGAAGTGATTGATCTGCAATAATGCAAACGTAACCAGTTCCACTTGGGTTGAAAGCTTCTCATTCTAATCAGAGATGAATTAGCCTGAATGTTTTTGGTCAAGTGAATAGTTCCACGTACTGTTTTGATGCTTGAGTGTAAATGAAATTTAGGTGTTGTGTCTACGTGTATGTATGCATGTAGAGCGAACTAAATGTATTTTCCTCTAAATTAWACTGCAGTGTTTCTCTCAGAATATTTGACATAACAGCCTCAAAGTGAAATGTAACCCTTTTTAGTTTCCGTTTTTCGCTTTCCACTCTATTTCCCTTTCTTCAGCTTTCTGTTCAATTGACCATTCAGAAATTCAAATGGAGACAGGGAACGAGTATGAAAATAGTCCACTTATCGAAAACTTGAACCTCACCACATGAAAGACTATGACTACAATTAGTGTTCTTGTCAAGTTTGAGCATATTTAGTTAAATACTCACCGAGTACGATTTTTGTCAAATTTGCAAAAATAAGAGAATGTATGAATTTTGTGCAAACACTGCTCAAGAGCTCCATACATTCTTTGTTATTTTTCCGGGTTTTAAACGCTTGCCACTCTGTAGTTATATGCTGAACTTTTACTYGGCAGCTATACTACTTTTAGTTTGTTCTTTCTAGTATGTCCCTTTTTGAATTTTTGAATGGCCAATTATTGTTTTTACTTGTTTTCACAAGGGGCCAGTTGTACAAGGTATAAAGTTACATAAACTTACATGTACATAGTATGCGATGCAGAATTATCCGKTGCATTGCGCTAGATACCGTTCGTACAACTTGCCTCAGAACTATAACTGGTTTAATAGTGATGGCTGTAATACGGTTCCAAATTAACCCCTGTTAACCAAGCAATTTGCCTTACAGCTTGAGTCCCTACGAAGCCGTTTGGATGATCGTGAATTGTGTTTGAAGGACAAGGAAAAGATGCTTGACGCAATGAGCTCAGAACACTCTGAAAACTCGTATGAAGTGGAAAATCTAAAGAGCATAATTGACACAAAGGAAAGACAAGTGGCTAACTTGAGAGAAAGGGTAAGCATGGATATGTCACCGGAATACGTCCTATTCCRTATTATAGATGATGTAGATGTACGTATTTTATTATTAGTGTTTTATAAGAATAGATGAATTMTGTTGATTTATTATTATAGTGCGAATCTCTTGAAACTGAGCTGATAGATAGAGATGGCAGTACGTCGACACTACGAGCTCAGTTGTCTTCTCTTCGCGGCGAGCACCAAGATTCCGCTACCACAATTACAAACCTAGAGGCAACCATAAAGGACAAAGACCGCTACATTGAAATGTTACAAACTCAACGCCAGCGAAATAATATAGAACTRAACGAAGAGGTCGAGAACTTGAAGAGAACTAACGAGAAACTTGAATCTAAAGTCACTTCTTTGAGAGATGAACTYTACAAGAAAGAGGTAAACATCATTACATAGTCGTGGTTCCAGTTTTCATAACAAAGAGTTGGGGTTTCAGTTCTTCCAGGCTTTGCAGTTGATACGAAGTTACCAAGTCAAATCTAGGATCCCTCAAAAACCTTTTTCCTTCTGAGAAATTGAAAACTGACAAATCTTGCTTTCAGTCCGGCTGCACATTCACATATTCGCCCCATGTAAGAGAATCCAGAGAACTAGGGGAWTCCGGATTCCAAGTGCTGGATTCTGGATTCCAAAGARTTTTTGTTTTTGGATTTCGGATGTGTTTTTTGGATTTCAAWTTTTTTTACTGGATTCTGGATTCCAAATATTTGGATTCCGGATTCCAGGATGTGGATTCCGAATTCTACAGCTGTTTTCTTTACTGGATTTCGGATTCTCTTGCATGGGGCGAACATATCATACAGATACACACACATTCTGGATACGAGAATGTCTTCTATTATCCTCTTTGCTTTCCTTAGGATGCCATGACCCACATTGAGAAAGAAAAGTCCACTCTACAGTCTTTGGCTCAAGAGAAATCAGCTCGTGTTGAAGCTTTAGAACAGACCATTAAGCGATTAGAGCGAGATCTTGATGAGGTACGTTGCTGCAAGCTCAGTTTACAAATCATTATTGTATTTGTCTATTTGCAAAGAAGGTAATATCATGCTTCATTCCTTCCATGGCATTTGTAAAGCTCTTCTGACACTGTGTCTGTAAGGGTAACGAAAGATGCCAACATTAGAAWTGGAAAAGCTGGGTTGATAAAGGCGTTAGTACCTATTGCTACACCAAACTAGCAACGCATTTCCTACACAAAATAAGTTATTGTTAAAGGGAAGTAACACAAGGGATGCATTTTATGTTCGAAATATAGTTTGTGTCGTAGTCGTATATTGCAGTGTACTTCAACGTGTGAGACTTSACGTCCCCCGGTYAGCGTCATCATCTGATATCCAAAAAATATTGACTRCTGCAAACAAATCAACAAAAAATAAACTTCCATTCGAGYAAATGCTGACGCCACACTGAGTGTGAACTGGCCGAACTGGCCTTCTTTTTCGTAGTTTACCTTTTATAGAATTATTTACAGCTCCAAAAGTCAATTCCCAGAATGTATTGTTGTATCATTAGAGCACAAGTCATAAAGACAAACTGGCATCTGAACTAAGCACCAAGAAGCTTGAGCTAACACGTCTAGAAAAAGAAAAGAAGAATGTAACTAAAGAGGTTGAAAACATCAAAGTTGCTCAAGAGACAAGTGTCAGAGAAGAAGTACAGAAATTGAAAGAGGATTGTACAGCCAAAGATCGACAGATTGACGATCTGGAAAAGTAGGTGTTTGAAACAATTATAATCATGGCCTACTGTTTTCTCTTTCATRTATTTGATGTAATGTTCCTTGTTTTAGACAAATAAAAGAATTAAACAAAAAAGTGGCTAATATTAAAAGAAGTAACCAACTGGAGAGGGAAAAACAGGCCCAGTTACTCAATGAAGTTAAGAAACAGGAAGATCAGAACGATGAAAAAGTCGACGAAATAAAGGTGATATATATGGATGATTTTTAATCATATCCTTGAGTGTATATGCATTCAGGGATGAGTGCAAACAACCTTCCAGTGATTTTAAGCCTGCATATGTTTTCTCAACTATACATATGTGTTTTCGTTAGGATTTTTTATGTCTTAAAGGTGCGTAGGCTTTCTTGTTGACGGTTAGCATGCTATAGCATCACTCTAATCCTTTTTTATATTGCCTTTTGTTTCACGTGAAGCATTTTATGTCAAAAATGAATTTTGTTTTGTTAGCACTTTGTGTGTAAACCATGTGTACATTTGATAATCCATTCTTGTTCCAGCTATCATTTTGGTAATTGAAATGCTTTGATCTTCCTAGYCACAAATAAAAACAAAGTAAACAAAGTATTATCGTCTCGAGCATTTCAAGTGATAAATTCCATTGATTAAATAGTTTTGTAATTCACAGAAAGAGATCAAGAACAAGGATGAGCGAATTGCCGTCCTAGAGGAAGCCCTCAAAGAGAGTGTAACAATAGCGGCAGAACGAGAGGAACTTCTAGCTCAGCAAGCACAYAGTGCAGAAACAGCAACTCAACGCGTTGAAGACATAGAAATGGAGTTAGACAGAACTCATTTGGAGATGGCTATAACTAATACTAAGAACGCTTCTTTGCTGCTGGCACTAAACGAAAACGACGCTATTTTGAACTATTATAAGTCTGAAAGACGTCATAATCTTGAGGAAAATCTGGAAATGAGGTATGCAGGCAGTGTAGATGTATGGTCAAGGAAGTAAAAAATAATGCACGACTTTCAGAAATGGCGGTAGTTCACGACCTTCAATATCGGGGGAATTGTGACGAATCATGGCAACGAGAGTACCAAGGCCTCMCATCTAAAAAACACCATGGAGATCGCATATATGGGAGTGTCAAAGTTTGAAAGATGAATTGGTATGTTATTTATGACAAAACACTCTTGCAAGCACACCATGGAAGTTTACTATACGAAGAACTCGTCCTTCGTTCCCTGTGCCTGGTTGTGGCGACCGTGACATATCGCACCATTTTGGAAAGTCGTGAATTATTACARCAATGAGAGTGTTATATTACAGTGCAATCATTGCGGATTTATTTRGATTCCTTTCATTCCAGGGGTATTTTACGTTGGGCTCATTCTTTGAACGCTTTTCTTTTCCTTTTCCTTTGGTATGACATTTAGTAATCTCTTCTTTCCCAGACAAAATGCTCTCTTGGCGACAATCTCTGAAAAAGACGCAAACATTGCTTTATTGGAACTAACACCAACGAGGAACAGTGAACATGAGGTGGTCGTTTTAAAACGTGAGAAAGATAAACTTGTCAACGAATTAAAAGATCAGGTATGGTAGTTCTCATGAAAAGATACCCGTCAACGTTTGTCAGTCCGTTCCTGTGCCAAACTGTAGTACTGACTGATGAAAAAGCCTTTTKCATGRAACGGTCACAATATCATGCTTCWTTGCTTTTATGGCATTTGTAAAGCTCTTCTGACACTGTGTCTGTAAGGGTAACGAAAGATGCCAACATTAGAATTGGAAAAGCTGCATTGATAAAGGTGTTAATAACTATTGCTACACCAAACTGGCAACGMATTTCCTACACAAAATAAGTGATTGTTGACAGATTGGACTTTGTTGTGCGACGAGTATTCTATTGTWTATATTGCTGGTTGCCTTTGGCTATGCMTGTATTCATTCATTCGTTCTATTTATCATCCACAGACTCAGAAAAGAATAACTCTGATTAACAATGAAGATAATAAAGAGGTTCGTATCTCGATGGAGCTGTTGCAAGCACCTAAAGACAAGGTATAACCATATGCAGTTTAATTGGATAATTTATCATTAGAACGATTTCACATAACCGGATAAAAATGCTAATGAGGATCAATTTATGCTAATACACATAACACGATTTTATCCGGTTATRTGAAATCGTTCTATTGCCAAACTCTCAAGCCCAACTCTTTGAAAAGATTCCCTTTTTTGTACACTAGGTGGGATATATTRACACTTTATTATGGTTGTTCACACCTAAGGCAATTATTGACAGATATCTATCATTGCAAGCTCAACTACTGTCTCGCTTTTATGCGAAGGCTCGGCTACCTTTCAAAATGGCTCTCTGAACTGTTAAATGGAGTATTGAAAGCGAATAACCRCTGTTTATTTTGACAGCAGATTCTCTTGCGCAAAGGACTTACCGAAAACAGGCGAAAATGTTGCAATTACAACCGCCCTAACAAATTGTGCTTTCCCCAAGCTGCGGCTAATCCTGCTTTCTTTTGTGTTTGGTAACGTATTTGCGCAAGAGAATCTGTTGTCAAATAAAACAGCGGCTGCAAAAATTCGAAATTGGAGTATTTAAGAAAGATGAAAAGACATGAGTAATTTTCCAGTTATTTATGTGACCAACGTTCCAGCTTTCTATTACCTGACCTTTGTACAAAGAAATAAATCCCTCTTTAATACAGTGCCCTTTTCACAGGTCATAGATGCTGTTGCTCTAATAGAGGATAGCATGGAGAAGCTTCAACTATACGCGGACGATTTACTCGAAGTCGCCAAAGCACATTTTCCTGAAGTCTCCAGGAAGTTACCTAAACTTATGTCACGTGACTACGGGAAATATGAAACCGTGGTGAACAAAGCCAATGAAAATGAGGTATGGCTTTCATTACATTGCATTATTATTTCTAGGGGAGGGGGAAGGGGGGGGGGAGTTGGAGTGGGAGGGGGAGGAGAGAGATGCCTCCACGCAGGCTGTTTTTAAGGTTACATGTCAAGTATAGTTGTATTTAAGTGCATGTCATAACAGAAGAATCTCAATTGAGGCAAACGCACTAAATCTTTGGAAGTACAAAATATTTTATTCTTCTTGGTGGAAAACTTGTTTATTTCAAAATGGTTTCATGGCAATCGTATTTTTCAACAAAACAAGTTAGAAGCACGAAATGCGAAACATCTTATTWTTCTTGCTATGGGTGAATATTGTTTGATATTGTCTCCTTCCTGTCTCAGTATTGTGCTTTGCGTTTACCGCATAGCGTGCACCGCATAGCGTAATTTCCTTAACAGATTGCTTCTAATACCTAATGTTTTTTTGATGTTTCAGCGACGGTCTCTACTAGAAAATTTAGAAAAAGATATGCAAAATCTCCAAGATTACGTTCATAAGTTACTAGAACTCGTGGAAGATTATACAGACTCGAAACCATAAACTACCAAATCGTGTTGTCATTGCTATAGTGAATTTCGTCAATCCAATTTTACCGATAAGGTGACAGTTGAGAATGCCCTGCAGGAAAATGTGGAAATGCACTAGGTCTATAGTTCTATTAGTTTTAGTCAACAATCCATGTAAAAWATTTGGAAAAATGTAGCCTTTATACAAAACGTTTTTTACGATATGATATTTGTGAGAGCGCGAGTTACAGTGCATTTTCAAGGCCAGGAACTCTCTTCTAGTTTTCGTTTCTTTTTTGTTAGTTTTTCATAAATTGAAGCATTTGCATGTACAGTGCTTATCGTAGCCTAATAACAGATCTTTTATACTGCTATTGCAGTGGTTATCCCATCAAAATAATACGTTTGAAAAAAAAGAAAACTAAGTCTTATCGGTAAAATTAGGTCTAAGCCTACATAAAATATTTTCTTAAACTATTTTCAAATGGAAAGTTTTGAAAATCGTACTATTWACTGAAATCTCAATTTTTGAACATTTTCTTAAACAAAAACAAAAAATACTTTGTATCAACCGTTTGGTACTTAAATATAATCTATTTACGAATGSATTGTTGGAGGGAATAAGAGACTGCGTTGCACAACGCTGGATGTAACGCAGTCTGAGAGAATGGAGAATGACACTGAATTGTTAGATTTATGTTGCGCACAAGTGACCACACCTACCTTAAGTCAATGGGSTTTTACAAAATAGTGTCCAGAAATGGAAAGATGACGTTATGTAGGTGGATTGGATTAACTTCCAGCTTTTCACCAGCTTTTCTTTAGAAAATATTTTATATTTGCTTCCATTTTTAAACTATTTCTAGTGCTTAGACTTKAAACTTTGCCATTTTACTTACATGAACCTTATCTTTCTGTATAAATGGCCATCATTTTTTGAAACTTCTAAGACTGCAGTCGAATCTCCACTTGTGGACGCTCTCTAAAGCGGAGATCTGTTCGAGATCTCGTTTTTTCTTCCATGCAAGAACACCCAAATGTACTCGGACATTTTCGTAAGCGAACGTGAATTCCCATTGACTTAATTTTCTATTCTTTTCGAGCTCTCGCAACTGAACTAGCCCTCTTCAGTTTTTCAACTTCTCATAATAAAGATTGCTAACTAATGTAATCACTAAAGTAAACGAACTGTGTCTTTATAAATAGGGGCCTACTGAAAATGTGAAGTTCTATCTTTTGAATTGATACACCTACTTGCAGAAACGTTGTCATAGAAAATAGAACATTCGAATTTAGTAAAAAGGAATAAATTAAAACAAGACAAAAGAAAGCGTTCAGCCTCAGTGATCATCCTTYGTCTTTTTAATTTATTCCTTTTTACTAAATACRAAAGTCCTATTTTTTTATGACAACKTTTTCGCAAGTAGGTGTATTCCCTTAGGAATRTTCTCAAAAGCGGATACCGTTTTCCATGGTTGTYCGGTTACGAGAGATTGAACTGAGATGCATATCCAAAAATCTATAAACATTGTTTTTTTTAGTGCAGTGGACGTTCTATTGCTTCCATTCACCTCCTACAATAAACCTTTTTGTAATATCTGTGTGAGAGTTATATACAATAGATTTGTTAGTTAATAGCGTATTTTYCAAGAAAAAAAAAGTTAGTAGCAAAACAAAATGAAAAACAAATATTCTAGATTCCAAAAAATATATTACCATATTCGTCGAAAAAATCTGACCTAATATATTTCATATTTTGGGATTATCCCGACAATATATTGTAAAATCGCGTATTTGAAGTTTTCTAACAAATTTTATATCTGTAATCTGATTATAGAAAGAAAATTAAATTATAAAACTGAATGTAATGGCTCATGTTACATAAAATTGATGGCAAGATAGGGGGGCTCAAAGTAAAATTTCCTTATTAACAGAGGAGGGCCTTGAGTTTCATTCAAAGTTTTCATAATTTTCGATGTCTCTCAAAATGCTGGAAATCGCATTTCCAAGAGTTATTTCCTTCAAATTTTGAATTTTGTTTTTTCAAAATGTTCTGGGGGAGGACCAGACTCCCTTAATACTCCCGCCTTTGGCGTTCGTTAGACCCCCAGATCCAAAATATATGTCCTGGTCTCTGACATGTGCATAAAAAGTCCACGCTACGCGCCTGACTAATGGAAATCTAAATTCAAAGACTCGTTGATATGATGTGTGATTGAAATTGACCAAGATATGATTTTTTTTTCAACTATTGATTTTTTCGATTTTCTCACATAAATTGAAGATGAAGTTTTCACATAAATTGAAGATGTAGAAGCTGAAAAACATATTGATGATTTATTAGACA